ACTTATAAGGTATTATACATTTTCAAGTTTTTTAAACGAGGAAATGTAATATTGACAATTAATAAATAAAAATAAAAAATGCTCAAGTTTATAAATAGCTCATTGTCAAATAAGATATTTTGAAAATTATGTCATGTAAGGAAAATGGTTATATTAATATTAGGTGAAAATTTCAAGTAATTACAATAATTATTAGTATTCTGAATTTATTAGTATTCTGAATTCCACCAAAACAGTAGAGATAGGTTTTGCTGAAATTCCCATCGTTTTCAACTCAACCCTTTTAAAAATGAATGTAATGTTTCAATTATCACTTTTCGAATGCACCAACTAGATTTATTTTTCTATCAGAAAAGWTGTTGAAGTAGAAAATCAGAATTTTTCAACTACCCAAATGGTTGATGAGACAGAAAAAGAATAGTAAAATATTTTAGAATACTACTTCAATAACATTATAAAATTATTTTCTTTTATAAACTATTGACCCATCTTTGATTTTAAACTTGTTTTATTTTATGATAGTTTGTTTTCAAAGTTAACACAGGTGTTTCGGTTTTTCGACTTAGAATCTGAGCTGAATCAGGAATTTAGACTTCTAACTCATATTCAACGATGATATTTTCCATGGCAGCTTGATTTAAAAATTGTCCTCATCAAGGTCAGATTAGGTATGTTAACTAAATTTTTAACAATTTGTTTTTATTGTTACCTACTACAAAATAACTATTTTTAAATTGATTACCTACTTTCATAATCAACTTAAGGTCTAATTGGTTAAGTTCGGCTCCTAATATAGAATGATAACCTGCTGCCAAACGTTCTAGATCATCAAACTAATAAAAAATTGTATTTTACATTATAATAATAAGCCCATGTACTTATATTTGTAAAATATCACTATTYGTATTTTAATAGGTACTTGTTCGTCTGGAAATGAATAAGGAAACGTTGTGCCTTCTACATATTCGTTGCACAATCGAGCGAGAACTTTGTTCTCTCTATCGATCAACTCTGGAATAGTTATTACCATATTACCAGTTAGTCTTTTGGCGTTTTGGAGAGCAGAAGATTGTTTAGACACTTTAGATTTCACTTTATAACTATAAGATAACAAAAACATTTAAAAATAAATTGCATATTTTATAAAAAATATATACACAATCTTATAATTTACATTTGCTAAAATGCACTTTATCAACCCCTCACGTTTTATTATTTTTAACAATTTGATTTTTATGCTTAAAACTATGGTGCAAACATTTTTTAAYGGAAACTATTATTTTAGAATTTACGTTTATACGCATACGCTCAACATTACT